CAGTAGATGATTTGACAACGGTAGATGAGCAAACATCAATAGATATCACAAGTAATGATTTAACGAGTGAAGTTGAGCTAACAACACTAATTGATATAACAACAATTTCATCGACAACAGTTGGTGATTTCACAACAGCAGAGGAGCTAACGTCAACAGATATCACAGCTGATGAAGTGACAAGCGATGTTGAGCGAACTACATTTGTTGATGCAACAACAATACCGTCGACAATAGTAGCTGATTTGACAACATTAGAGGAGGTAACATCCATTGCTATCACAACCGCTGAAGTAACAAGTGATGCTGATCAAACTACCTTGCTTAATGCATCAACGATACCATCGACGACAGTAGATGATTTGACAACGTTAGAGGAGCTAACATCAATGGATAGCACAAGTAATGATTTAACGAGTGAACTTGAGCTAACAACACTGATTGATATAACAACAATACCATCTACAACAGTTGGTGATTTAACAACAGCAGAGGAGGTAACCTCAATAGATATCACAACTGATGAAGTAACAAGTGAATCTGAGCGAACTACATTTGTTGATGCAACAACCATACCGTCGACAACGTTAGATGATCTGACAACATTAGAGGAGATAACATCCATTGCTATCACAACCGTTGAAGTAACGAGTGACGCTGATCAAACTACCTTTCTTGATGCATCAACGATACCATCGACAACAGTAGATGATTTGACATCGGTAGATGAGCAAAGATCAATAGATATCACAACTAATGATTTAACGAGTGAAGTTGAGCTAACAACACTAATTGATATAACAACAATTTCATCGACAGCAGTTAGTGATTTCACAACAGCAGAGAAGCTAACGTCAATAGATATCACAGCTGATGAAGTAACAAGTGAATTTGAGCGAACTACATTTGTTCATGCAACAACCATACCGTCGACAACAGTAGATGATTTGACAACATTAGAGGAGGTAACATCCATTGCTATCACAACCGTTGGAGTAACGAGTGACGCTGATCAAACTACTTTTCTTGATGAATCAACGATACCATCGACGACAGTAGATGATTTGACAACGGTAGATGAGCTAACATCAATAGATAGCACAACTAATGATTTAACGAGTGAAGTTGAGCTAACAACACTAATTGATATAACAACAATACCATCGACAACAGTTGGTGATTTGACAACAGCAGAGGAGGTAACGTCAATAGATATCACAGCTGATGAAGTAACAAGTGAATCTGAGCGAACTACATTTGTTAATGCAACAACCATACCGTCGACAACAGTAGATGATTTGACAACATTAAAGGAGGTAACATCCATTGCTATCACAACCGCTGAAGTAACGAGTGATACTGATCAAACTACCTTGCTTGATGCATCAACGATACCATCGACGACAGTAGATGATTTGACAACGGTAGAGGAGCTAACATCAATAGATATCACAAGTAATGATTTAACGAGTGAAATTGAGCTAACAACACTAAATGATATAACAACAATACCATCGACAACAGTTGGTGATTTCACAACAGCAGAGGAGCTAACGTCAATAGATATCACAGCTGATGAAGTAACAAGTGAATCTGAACCAACTATATTTGTTGATGCAACAATCATACCGTCGACAACGTTAGATGATCTGACAATATTAGAGGAGATAACATCCATTGCTATCACAACCGCTGAAGTAACGAGTGATGCTGATCAAACTACCTTTCTTAATGAATCAACGATACCATCGACGACAGTAGATGATTTGACAACGGTAGATGAGCAAACATCAATAGATATCACAACTAATGATTTAACGAGTGAAGTTGACCTAACAACACTAAATGATATAACAACAATTTCATCGACAACAGTTGGTGATTTCACAACAGCAGAGAAGCTAACTTCAATAGATATCACAGCTGATGAAGTAACAAGTGAATCTGAGCGAACTACATTTGTTGATGCAAC